CACACATCCACTAGACCAACAAACACATGAGATTCACAAGGTACAAGAACAATCAAAGGGAAACAACATACATGGTAAAGTTCATCCCAAATCCTATGAAGGAGATGAGATCTTGATGATCTAGATAGATCCTTCCCTAGATGGGGTCTTCATATCCAGTAGGGATCTTCTCTCTCTCAAGAGGAATCCCACAAGGGGAGGTACACGAGCTAAGCTCTAATGTCTAGATCTATTCTTAGCTAAGTCTAAATGGAGGAGATGAAGGAGTATATATAGTCCTAGGGGATCAAGGGTTAAGCAGGGACGAAATGGACATTACATGAGCAAAGCCCGCAGCTACACATAGGGGGCCCCGTGTGCATGGGGTAAGTGGATCCCGTGAGCACGGGGTCTCGCGACCTGACGCAGTAGCCCATGCGCACGGGGTCTGTGAGGCCGGGAACGGTACACGCCCATGCGCACGGGGTCTTTAGGACCGTGCAGCCAGCTGGGAGGCCCGTGCGCACGGGGTCACCTGGGAGCTGTTGCCTTCTTCTTGGTGGTTCCTTCTGCGCTTCCAGGCTTCCCTCTTGGATGGTGTGGATATTCTCTTGAGCTTGGACTCCTCCTCGATGAATGTGTAGTTTCGCAAACACCTATGTATGCACATGAGAGAGGGGTCAAGTAGTATACCATTCTAGAACGGCACAAGTGAACACGTATAAAGGAGATGATTCACCTTCATGTAAGTGAAGTAGATGTGGCACGTGTCACTTGCCAAACGAACTCTTGACATGGTGATGTCCGTAGGATGCTTCGCATCAACACCTCCCTGGGTTCTCTACGGGTGAATAGAGCCTCCTAACCGTCCGTTGCCAGGTGGCTTGCCGCGGGCGTTCGATCTTCCCGGATGGCTCGTACCCGGACGACCTGGCTAGATCCGAGGGATTATTGTACATCGGTGGATCCAGGAGCTGGCAATCTCAAGTTGAGGTGGTGGCTCCTAGCTAACTCAATTTTACCGTTTCCTGTAAAAATAACTGAGTACTGTTTTAATTGAGAAAAAATTGGCTTCATCGAAAGCCATTATAATTTTGTGTTCCTTTGCCACGGCACAATCAAACCTTTATATTAGGCTGGTTGTGCTTGATTAGTGTTCCGCATTATCTGGGTGCTCACATTTTTTTATAAATGAGTCAATTTGATCAAACAAGCCAAAACATGAGCGGACAACAAAAGATATGTGACAAAACAAAATTTTACATCAAGGATTCTTTGAAATTGTCAAATATAGTGTTAATGTATGGTTTCAGTGCCTCTCGATGCTCGAGAGGTTGGCAGAGACGAGGGGCCGGCAGAGGTGAGCGAAAGAATGAATGTCCTCTCCCCTCTGACAATTAGAGTTTGTTCACACATTTTGTCACGGTTGATAGAGAAAGTGCTAGAATCACTCGTGTGGTATGTGCGTCATTTGAAAATTTCCCAAAAATGTAACTTTGAAATGAATTCTTGTAATGAACGATGCATGCACTTTTATTTTTGTCATATTTTTAATTGTAATTATTTTTATTTATTGCAATGAGTGACATTAAGCCACTAACACTGTAGACTGATACAATTAATACCCCTTAGTGCCAACCAGAAAAATAGATAATCCTGAACAAGGGTGATATTGGGTAGCTATTTGTTTGTGAACCTTGCATCATTCTTCAATATCTGGTATGTGGCTAATTTATTTGATATGTTTGCACGTGTATAAGAGCACTATAAAGTAAAAAAAAAGTATTCCACCACCAGCCTCCACCTGTGTATACAATGCTTTCGTTTTCTATGCCACACCAGTCTTTACTTCTTATAAGAATAGTTTTGTCTTCTTATATATACCACTTCATCTTCAATACAAACAGATCCATCATCTCATGCATTCTTTTTCAACAAGTTGCCACTGCTTCCTTTTCTACAGAACAACTCCACCGTCCACTCCTTTTAACATGTTAGTAGTACTAGCTTATTTCATCAAATAGGTGGTATTCACATCAACAGATCAAAGAGAGAAATATGGAAGATGTTAGAACACAGGGGAATAGGAGGCATCATGAGTATTAGAGGAACTACCCATTAGAGTGTTGCTTGTGGATGATGCTGGAGCTTTCTTTATTATGACTTGCCATTTATTTGTATCTGTTTGGCTGGTTCTTTCGGTAGTTGCGAGCTTGCCACATGTAGCTAGATTACAGGATTACCACACTAGCGCCAATAAAAAAAGTGGCATGTGGCCTTTCTATGATCTTACTTTTTTCGAGGATCGGTTTGAATTTGATCCATCTCAATCTCTTTTTATCACTATCTTTTTTAAATCCCAGGTTCAGATTTTATCACTATCTTTTTGATGAAATTCTGGGTTTAGATAATATATTTTGTGGTAGAATCACCTTCTTTCCTAGAGATAAGCACCACTTGTGCCACTATACCATTGAATAGAGCCTAGCCAGTCTCAATGGATCGGAGTCCATAACAAGACACCATTGAACCCACACCAAGAGAAGTTCTGGCCCAGTTTTGCAACTCTGTTCTTGTAAAAAAAGATAAAAAAATCTACATCACCAACCTCCACTTGTAAATACAATGCTTTCCATACTTACTTACACCACGCCAACCCTTTCTTATATGAAGAACGTTATCTTCTTATATATACCATTTCATCGTCAATGGAATAAATATATCCCCTACAGAAAAATAGAGCAAATAATATGGTTTCACTTTGTTTTAATATATTGATAGCACTACCTTATGACATCACATGTTTCGTAGTCAGTAAGAATATCAAGAAAGCGAGAGAAGAATATGAATGAAATATACAAAAACACATGGAAATATGAGACATCAGGAGTAGTGGTGGAATTGCTTTTCATTTCAACAAAGGACGAGGCCAAACTGCCTAATCTTGAATGGCGAGAGATGCCGGAGCTTCCTTTATTTCAACTAGTCATATATTTGTATTCATCTAGCTGGTCCGGTCTTTTTAGTACACACAATCTCGGGCATGGTAGTTTTTTTTAACTGGCATAACTCATTTCCATTAACTGAATGACGGAAATACAAGCATATGAACCAGAAAGAGTTCCAGGGGACGGAAAAGGGGAAAGTGAGTTTAACATCGTCGGGAAACCCACCGCAGGTGCTCGCTGTCGAAACACCCACTATGAGACGAAAACCAGGCGACACTCAAAAACTAGCCCAACTGAAAGAGTTTAATGCTCGGGCATGAGCCAAATAGTTTAACACCCACACAGGAGCAAACAAGGTAGGAAACCTAAAGATGGGATTGGTGGGAAGAAACTCCAGGCCGACACTGATGACCCACAAGTATAGCGGATCTATCGTAGTCCTTTCGATAAGTAAGAGTGTCGAACCCAACGAGGAGCAGAAGGAAATGATAAGCAGTTTTCAGCAAGGTATTCTCTGCAAGTACTGGAATAAGTGCTAACAGATAGTTTTGTGATAAGATAATTTGTAACAAGCAACAAGTAACAAAAGTAAATAAAGTGCAGCAAGGTGGCCCAATCCTTTTTATAGCAAAGGACAAGCCTGGACAAACTCTTATATAAGGAAAAGCGCTCCCGAGGACACATGGGAATATCGTCAAGCTAGTTTTCATCACGTTCATATGATTCGCGTTCGGTACTTTGATAATTTGATATGTGGGTGGACCGGTGCTTGGGTGCTGTTCTTACTTGAACAAACATCCCACTTATGATTAACCTCTATTGCAAGCATCCGCAACTACAACAAAAGTATTAAGGTAAACCTAACCATAGCATGAAACATATGGATCCAAATCAGCCCCTTACGAAGCAACGCATAAACTAGGGTTTACGCTTCTGTCACTCTAGCAACCCATCATCTACTTATTACTTCACAATGCCTTCCTCTAGGCCCAAATAACGGTGAAGTGTTATGTAGTCGACGTTCACATAACACCACTAGAGGCTAGACAACATACATCTCATCAAAATATCGAACGAATACCAAATTCACATGACTACTAATAGCAAGAATTCTCCCTTGTCCTCAGGAACAAACGTAACTACTCACAAAGCATAAACATGTTCATAATCAGAGGGGTATTAATATGCATATAGGATCTGAACATATGATCTTCCACCGAATAAACCAACTAGCATCAACTACAAGGAGTAATCAACACTACTAGAAACCTACTAGCACCAATCCCGGACTTGGAGACAAGAATTGGATACAAGAGATGAACTAGGGTTTGGAGATGAGATGGTGCTGGTGAAGATGTTGATGGAGATTGCCATCTCCCGATGAGAGGAGCATTGGTGATGACGATGGCGATGATTTCCCCCTCCGGGATGGAAGTTTCCCCGGCAGAACAGCTCTGCCGGAGCTTTAGATTGGATCCGCCAAGGTTTCGCCTCGTGGCGGCGGAGTTTCCTCCCGAAAGGTTGCTTCTTATTTTTTTTCTCGACGAAAGACTTCATATAGCAGAAGATGGTCATCGGAGAGCCACTAGGGGGCCCACGAGGTAGGGGCGCGCCCTAGGGGGGGGCGCACCCCCCATCCTCGTGGACAGGGTGTGGCCCCCCTGGTCTTCATCTTTGGCGAGGATTTTTCATTATTTATTATAAGGTGTTCCGTGGAGTTTCAGGACTTTTGGAGTTGTGCATAATAAGTCTCTAATATTTGCTCCTTTCCCAGCCTAGAATTCCAGCTGCCGGTATTCTCCCTTCTTATGTAAACCTTGTAAAATAAGAGAGAATAGCCATAAGTATTGTGACATAATGTGAAATAACATCTCATAATGCAATAAATATTGATATAAAAGCATGATGCAAAATAGACGTATCACACACTTAGATGAAAACATTCTCTTTCAGCTTGTCATTGAGTCGTCATGAACGACAGCACAAATCCGCATCATGTTGGTCGCACTTTTTATGAGCATCATTGTACCTAGCCTCATTGCACCTTGATCTTCATTTTTCAGCAAACCTGCCTAATAATTCAGAAACACACAAGAGGAAAACACCACTTCAAAAGGTGAACTTGAATGTTTAAACTCAAAGGTCACACGGTTGCTGCAGTTCTAAATCGCCTAAAGCAAAAGTATATAACTTAGGACCAGCACGAAGGAACATATAACACCAAGAATAAAACTGCCACAAATTATTTGGACAGAGATCAGTTCTAAACACCAAGCCAACAGCACGACCAAGCAATTCTCGCAACTGGTCACAAGAAGAAAAAGTGTTGAGAAGTTTCCCTCTCGTTACACTCGGCATAGTAGCTAGACTACCGACCCTAGCTAGAAACTAAAGCCATGGAGCAAATCTACGTTTGGGCACGGCTAGTCTTTTTCATTTGGGCACGAATTGGTTTCAGTTACAACACATCACAACAAATTTTGTTGTTATTTTCTACTATTAGTATTGTGTTCAAATCCTTGTGTTAGAATCACTTTTCTTGAGAGGGGGATACATGAGGGAGGGGAAACATCACTTTCGGTTGCAGTATGGGCTATAGAAGTGGTGGCTGCTAGGCATCAGTCGGCTGATCTTTTCCTAAGATCAGCCGCCTAGCCAGCCGTTCATCAACGTCGATTTTGGCCGCTTGATTCCTTGATCATGCCGTCGCTTTCATCCCACTATGCCATATCTATCCCACAGGTACTCTAGTCAGCCATCCGGCATGTACATGAGTGCAACGCATAATCCACACTTCCAACGCGACGAGCCGCATTTGGGCCACATGCAGCACCAGCTTCAGCCTGCACATAATCCACACTTCCAACGCGACGAGCCGCATTTGGGACACATGCAGCACCAGCTTTAGCCTGCACCATGCAACATCGCTGGTCATCGCACGGAAAAACACTCACGAGTTCGCCATGCACCGGTCACAACTGCAGTACCGGGTTGCGGCAACGACGCTGCGAGCCTGCGACCACCCCTTTGAAGCATCAGCGATGCTCCATTATAGCACCGACGATGCAACAACGGCCCAACAATGCTCCATAACAACACTGGTGATGATCCGTTGCAGCATCCGTTAGGTTTCAACGACAGGCGAGGCTTCGTTGCAGCACCCATGAGGTTCCGGCATCCTACGATGCTCTGTTGCAGGACCCGTGAGGTTCCGTCGGCCGACGATGCTCTGTTGCAGCACCCATGAGGTTCCGTCAGCCGGTGATGCTCCGTTGCAGCAACCATGAGGTTCCGGCGTCAGGCGATGCCCCGTTCAGCATCCGTGAGGTTCCGTAGGCCAATGATGCTCCATCGCAGCACCCGTGAG